GCTGGAGACCTACACATCTGATTGTAAGAAACTTCAACTATCAGTCCTTATACGATCTAGGTCTATAACTGATAGCCTCAAGAGCCTATTTAATCGGAATATAAATGTTGAAACCTACCTGGATATAGGTAACGTCGTGGATTATAGTGACAATTAAACAGTTGTCTGCAATAATTGTGATAAAGATCAGGCTTGATTTGTTCTGACAGTCATGTCGCTCATGTGGCCCACCGGCACTCATGGCAATATAGCATAGTAGTAACATAGCTCTACTTAAGCTCCAGTCCCATCGGCGGTTCTGATGAGATTTCAGTCCACTTTAGACGAGAATACTTTTTAGGAAGCAAGAATAAGCATCGTTGTAAAAACCTTCATTACTTCATACAAGCTGGGATGAAAACAGTTCTTGCTCAAGATCTACTGATAGTATAGAAATCTACTTAAGATGAATATAAATGACAATAAACGGTCCGTCTCCACCTGTGTTGCATACTTCAACAGAATGAGTTTGGTGCTGTACAGAATTTGTTTATCCCTCCATATTCATATCCATCTATGTGCATATAGGTTTGAGTGTGTTCATGTGCGTGTGATAGTTCGGATACGAAAGTACTTATTATGGTCCTAAAAATTAAAACAGAGCCTAACATTTAGTTTTGTTAACCACTTTGTAGCTTCCTCTTCACGGCCTCAAGGAAACTAATAGCAAAGTATTGTACGTACTTCCATTCGGGTTGATGAGCCTCCAGTGTGAAGTTACTTCGCCCGATTTACACCAGAGCGGTAATCTAACCGTAACTAAGCTGCCCAGAGAAGAAATAAAAAACATCGGAGCTTAGACAGTAAAGTAGAAGCGTCAGCGTGTCGACGGCCTTTAGCGTCGATCTCTTGCCAAGTCCGTTGCAAACATGTTCTTTCGAGAATTGGTAGGCCATTGTCTCTGAGTGGTAGTGGTCTGCTCTGACGTAATTGTCGATGTTGTCACACCGTTCGCAGACTTGCCTGAGTGAGCGATGAGTTTGAAGCTTCAGCGTATGAGAACATCTGGCTGTTGAAATAGTAAAACTCTGATATTAAAATGTGAATGACTTATTACTAACAAGGTTAACAAGAATAGAAGCCTCGATGAATAATAAATGTTCAGAGCTATTCAATCGAATCAGTAACATGAACATCGTTGACAATGACATCGCAATCCAAGCAACACGGTTTTTCGGGTAATAAGTTGTATTTCGGCTTTGTTATTAGCGAATCGCTTGGTTGATAGAGTTGAACACACTAGAAGCATGACCAGATGTTGGCTGTGGATAGAATATGGGTTGGGGCAACTGTGGGTGGTGTGATTGCTTGCCAGCCCAGCGAGGATAGGCACTAAATGTCAACAGTGACAGCTAAGCGCATTGAAGTTATGCCAAGAAAGGGGAAGGATATGCTGAACTTTACACACTTACAAATAGACATAAGCACAACCATATTCCCACTCAAACTCACACGTCTATTCACATAATTACCAGTCTGTCGCGCTCGTGATTGCTCTGCTCGGCGGAGGTTTAACCACCGATTTCGATTTGTGCTTCTGCCTGCATCGGCGCTTCCCTCAGGCGTCATAACAACCTGACGACTTGGCTTCATATTTTTGCTGTACATGTGATACCCACGCTCATCGTCCATGCCCCCCCCCCAAGATCCAGTCGCTGGTTGCTATGGCACTATTCAAGAGGGAGGGTGGCAATTCGGGTGTGGAGTTTGTTGCGGCCTGACATCCGAGCTAGTCGTCCAGGCGGGCGAGTGTGATTCTCCGACCTTCCGGCGGGTGATCACATTGCTGGGAGGCCTGAACTTTACAATGGACCTCTCTATCCTCGTGATGTCGAGACCATCTGCCTTCTGGGTGGCTGCAGGAGGGAAGAGGACACACAAAATGGCTTTTTTACAAGTATTCAGATCTGCTGATGTCCAATGTAACCAACCTACTCTTTATTGTGATGGTGACGAGACCTCTTGGGTGGTCACTAAGTCGTGCCGACCGATCTGGCAGGCCAGTCCTTGTCTCAGACTGCACAAACATAATGCAAAGCCGACAACTGTATGTATTCCCATTGCTGCGGTGCCAGCAGCTCCAGTCAGGCGCGTGTAGTGGCCTCAACCCTCCATACTCGAATGGAGAATATGGTGACACATGCTGAAGACATGAGGACCAGTGTGATTATGTCCCACACAAATGGGAGGTCGCAGTGGCAGAAATAGCGTCATAGGCCGTCTTCAGCCGGAAACAAGTTGTATACGTTAAGTTATCGTTGCTTAATCTTTTTTTCGTTTATACCTAGTCTCGAGTCTACCAGTCAATCAGTTATAAAAGGTGTACTCACCCTATTTCGTAATTGAATTTTCCCACAATGATGTTTCCAATGGTTTTCACAAAACCCTGCTTTCCCGAAATGTGTCTCCTACAGATTAAAGTGGACTGTAGTTTCTACCTCGTCTTATCAACACCCCCAGTGGGATTCGAACCAGGACAGTCAAACTTATAAGCTTGACACCTTAACTACTACGCCACATTGCCACGAACACCCTTAGGTCACAGGGCAGATGTGAATTTCAAGGAAGGCCAGGCATTTTCCCATATCATATTCTTCGGTGTGATTGCCGATTAAGTAAAGTTTTATTTGCTATGACAATCGAATAGGCTACTTATTTTTCGTTTATAAGTAGGATTTCGAGACTACCAGTAATTCAGTTATATGAGATATATGTGATATGGGAAAATACCAGGCCTTCCTTGAAATTCACATATGCCCTGTGACAATGTGGCAGCGAGCTTACACGCTGCACTGTCATGGTTCGACTCCCTCTCGGATGTTGATAGGACCTATGCGAGATCGAAACTGCAATCCACTTCTGCCTAAATGATAACACTCTTTGGGAAAGTAAAGCTATGTGGAATTCAATGGAAACGTCAACTCCACTCATATGATTGTGGGAAAAATCAACTACCAGTCATTCATCACCTTAAACGAAATGGGCTGAACACATCTCATATACCTTTCACTTTGTTTGATGAGGCGAATAGAAGGGATTTATAAGTTGGCCTTGAAACTGTGACTGTTTATTTGTGCGAGTAAGTCCTTGGTGTACCACCAGGCCCAGCTTTCACCCCTCCTGTGACCAACGTCCTCAGAGCAGGACAACTTCCGATAGGGCCATCTAACAAATTCCTTCCACTCGCCTCTTCAAACGAAATAAATGACACTCCAGCGTCAATTTGCTAAGGAGGTCTGCGATACATAGTTTTTTTCACATATAAAATTGTGGGCTGACTGAATGGAGTTCAAAGTCTCAATAATTGTCATAAATATCTTGAAGAAGAGGGAAGGTCTGACCTTCCTTGAAATTAGCGTCTGTCCTGTGACCCAGTGGACCTCTGGCCAATGTGGTGTGGTTTAAGTTTATGAGTAGGTTTCGACATATACATGAGCTGTATGCATCCACTTGCGCTTAGAC